GCAATATTCCTAAGCCCAGGTTCAGGCATTGCCAGCCCCAGCCCACAGCTCCCAGAAGCCCTTGCAAAATGAAGAAGAGGTGAGAACTGTGAGAAAGAGACGGAAACACCAGCAAATGCCACAGTGTTCCCAGTTCAGGGCTGCAGAGCTTCCTGTTGGTGCTGCCGACTCCCTGACTGCCACAGACACCCTGGCTATTCCCCTTCAACAGCTAGACCTCCCCTCTGTGGCCACTGACCCCCACTGCTTTCTTTTGCTTTTTTTAGCCCTTTTTGAAGTACCTTAAACACTTAGAAATTTTCAAAACAATTTTTTTTACAGGGTGTGAGTTTCACAAAACCAATTCAACATAATCATGACCATCGGTTTATCCCACATCCACTTTATTTGCAATATTCATTTTTTTTTTCAATTCCATAAAGCAAACTCTGGAGCAAGCCACCAAATCAGGCCGTGACCCTGCTCCTTCTCTTCTTCTCAAAGCCCAAAATGTTTCCTAGTCCCTCATTTGCTTATTTTTTTACATTTTCTTGCACGTTTGCTTCCTGGCACCTTATCTCGTTTTTTTTCCTCCGAGTCTGGAGGTGGCATTTGTGTGGGCTTTGAAGACTTCTTTTTTTGTTCAAGATTCCACTACAATGAAATCATCGTGTTGTAGACTGTAGACATACTACACTTCTCTTTGTCAATTATACCTTCTTAAGGTATGTTTGTGGTGATGGGGGAAGGGGGAGGATCTACCTGATCTGACAAGCTGCAAACTATGTTTTTTTGCACTTCACTCAATTCTAAAATGAATAAAGAAGTATGCTGCCAAGGCCCTACCCTCTCACTGCACTGGCCCAGGGGGGCTTTTTCACAGTTCTTTAATATTCCAATCCCTGTATCAGGTGTTGCTGAGAAAAACCTACAGTTCCCTTAAAATCTTAATGACTGTCCCGTCAATGTGCTGCCGTACAGAATCATTGTTATTGCTCCTTTACAGCAACTCTTTCCCCTTTGCTTCCTCAAATCTTGCGGATAACTAGGAGGGACACTTTGGGGTCCGGCTGTCTGTCTGTCCAGCCTCTTTCCACTCAGGCCACCCCTTCCCCAGCTGTCTCTGCAGCTGCTTATAAACTGGCTATTTATAGCCCCACCCAACCACCCCCACGCCAGGTCACCACCCCCTGCCCCCTGCCCCAATCAGTGAGCTCAGTGCTCATGGAGAAAGGGGAAGTGGGTTGCTAGGCGAAGAGTTTGTTTGGGGCTTGGGGGTGCCCCTGCAATTTCCTGAAAGCTTTAGTTTCCTAGAAGCTGAGGACACTGAGGTGTCAGTTCAACACTTTTTCCCCCAAAATTATGTTTATTGAGATAAAGTGCTTTACATCATTGTATCCAGTGGTTACAGACTCAAACCTCTTGTAAACCCTCACACCCTGCCCACCCCTGGTGCCCAACTGTCCTCCACCATGTTCCACAGGGCACCTACCATGCCCCAGTCCTGTTCCACCATTAACCAGCTTTTCTTACCGCAGTCAGTCATGGGCTGAAGGAGGCAGAGGGACCCCAACACCCCATGAAACACAAGCCTTTCTCTTCCTGGGACCTGATGGCGCACAAAGACATCACAGCTTCTTGCTTCCCTTCATATGCTTTGCACTTCCCCATCCATTCTCTCTCTATACCCCATTTAAGTGAACATACTTCCCCTACCCCCAGGACCTCCCAACCCCATCCAGGGGACTGAGAGGCCTGGGCAGTATTGGGGGGCTAGGCCAGGGAGGCACATGTGTGGCTGTGGGATGCCACCCCCACTCTGCCCCAGGGGTGAGGCCCCAAATAGCTTGGCTTCTATATTTAGGAGTCTGCTCAGCTACAGTGCCAGGGATCTATAAATACAACACAACTCCCTACAGCCTCCCAACTCCCAGGCTGGGCTGGGCCAGGGCTGGAGGTGGGGACTAGGAGGGTGTCAGCTACAGTTGGGCACAGTCTACGCCAGAAACCTGTGGTTAGATGGATGCTAAGGACCTGGCCTGGGGGCAAGCCAGGGGTCCAGCCTGAAGGAGGAGACAAAGGTTCCATTGTCCCACCAGTCCCCAAGGTTGAGGGTCAGGGCTGGCCTACAGCCTCCCACCCTCTTCCCTCTCTCTCTCTGGGCTTCCTGGCTCAGGGACAGCTGTCTGGACTCACAATAGCTGTGCCGCCCTCCTGGAGCCGCAGCTGGGCTCATCCGCATAGGGCTGGCCCAGCCCCTTCCTTTACCATTGTCTCCCAAGCCGGGGGCTTCCTGTTACACACCCTTCCACCCAAAGGCCCCATCTGACCCCCTGCTTTAGCCCATGCCTGTGAGAGTGCTGGGCATAGACTGGTGGCACAGAAGCACTGCCGAAGATAACAGAGAATAGAGAAGAGGATCACCCTAACAGCTGCTTCTGTTGTTCATGGAGGATCTAAACTACACCCCTGCAATTCAGTCAAGCCTTTGTGATCCTCACTGGGGTATTGTATTTTCTGACCATTTCACTCTTGGGGAAACTGAGACCCAGAGAGGACTGGACTAAAGTCACACACAGTCCAAGAGGGGAGCAGGTGTGGCTTACCCAGGACCTTTGATATGATGTGGGGGTGCCCTGCAACTCTGCAAGGCATTTCACCACTCTGGGTCTCAGTTTACCCCTGTCAAATGGAAATCATCACCTGCCTCCTATGGCTACTGGGAAGATTAGTGAGTTTTATCCCTGTGAGGTGCTTAGAAGGCCAGACATACAGTAGGTGTGAGATAAGTAAAATTACCTACCATAGTGATTTGTTACTGTTGCAGTTATAATTTAAAAAATAATAATGATGTAATATAATAAATGACATTATTATTGTATTTAGTTGAATACTTGTGGCTCAGCTACTTTCTAGCTGAGGACTCTCAGGCCAGTGGCCCAACTCCCCAGCCACCAGTTTCCCATCCGACCAATGGGAACCCAAACCCTTGCCTCACACAGTTGGGGACAGAGGGCATGAAGTTGTGCAGGGGCTGCCAAATAGGTCAGCAGCGCTGGAGCTCAGGGCAGAGGAAAGGAAAAGGACCAGTGCTGACACTCCAGCGGGGACCAGATCAGGAGTCTGACAGTGCCCCAACAGTGCCTCCCTCCTACTTCAGGCTCTAACTCCCTCCTCCAGGCTGGAAACCCTCCCTGAGGCTCATATTCCCTCCTCCAGGCTTGAACCCCATGTCCCAGTTTCTCCAAGCACTAGCAGTCTGACCCAGGGACTTATGGGGAGAGGACATTGAGCCCTCGGGCTTCCAGCTTTCTGGGAAGAAAGCCAAAAATCCACTTTGGACCTAGTCTGATCCCCTCCCCTCCAGCCTCCTCCCTGTTGACTCCCCTGGTGAGCCCCCTCGGTCCCCTGGCTGGAGGCTGTCCATGCACGGTCCAGGTCAAAGGGACAGGAGTGGGCAGGAAAGGGTTAATTCCAAGAGTGGGGGTATTCAACCACCCCTGAGATAATGCCCCTCTGACTTCACACAAAGTCATCAGTGACTTTTATTTTATTTTTTATTTTTATTTATTTTTATTTTTTATAGAGGCATGTTTTATTTATTTGTTTGTTTCTTTGTTTTGTTTATACATGCACTGGGTACAGTCAGAAGCACGGGAGGGTGAGAGAATCCACCAGAGCCAGAGCGGGGAGCAGAGCAGGCAGAAGGACCGAAGTACACTGCTGAGGGGAGCAGCGGGCGGCAGGAGAGGTCTGCGCGCCATGTGGGACCCTCCTCGGGTGGCCGGGGAGCAGCTGGGGATCGAACCGGCGCCGCAGAGGCAGCGGGCAGCTTTGCAACCCAGCGCTCAACCCCTGTGCCACCGGGGAGGCCCATCAGTGACTTTTAATCCACAATCCTCCCCCTTTGAAGTTAGTATTTTCTTCAATTTTCATCAATTTTGCATCGTTGAATCCATTCATTAAAAAAGGAAACTTAGTATTGACGCCTTAATTGGAAGACCCTTCTTGTTGCCCCAAAGAGTTCCATAAACTGAAAATAAATAACAACACAAAGAAGATAAAAATGGTTTTTGGATTCTAGCAGGATACTGTCCCCAGCGAAATCTCAGGACCACCAAGCTGTTCAAGACACACTAGCATCCACAGAGACCGGCTCCTGGACCTGGAACTCCTCTAGGGCCCAGGGGACCTGGCTGCCTGCCTCTGGGCCTCCGTTCCCGCTCTGTAAAGTGGAAATTAGAACAACAGGTCTTCTGAAATAGACAAAGCTCCTAGACTCAGACCTGGCTCGGATTAAGTGCTTTATATATTATAACATGTTAAAAAATTATTAGATCACTACAGAGACAAGCCAGTCACATGACTTATTGGAAACGGAAAGAGCTCTCCCCTCATGTGATTCTCTGTTGATCAAGGCAGTGTCCGTGAGCCCCTGAGATAAGTGTCCAGAGCGGAACCGCTGGCCAGAAAGCCAACTCCAGAAGTGTGGTGGCCCCAGGATTCCAGAGCCTGCCTAGCACCCATAAGTTTTTTTTTGCCCTCCCCCAGCTCCTATTTGGCTCTCTGTGCCTCAGTTTCCCCATCTGAAAAACAGGTGGAAGGGACTATAAGCACAGATGCTGGCCCCAGAGACTCTGGTGTGCCGAGGCAGGGAACACAGGGGGCCCCTCACGTGGATGCCCTGGGCTTTCTGATGTGTCCTCTCCCCAGTGCCCAACCCACAAAGGGCACTGGACAGGACTCCCCCCGATCACCCCGTCTTGATGCCCACTTTTCCCTGGGATACAAGCGACTGTGCACAAAGGATTTGTCAGTAGCTGAAATGGAGGAACTTGGGGTAAAGGATTTGAAAGCAGGTTGTCGTGTGCATGTGTGTGTGTGTGTGTGTGTGTGTGTGTGTGTGTGCTCATAGCGCCTCTGGGTCTGTGTTTCTATTGCACTTTCCTGTTGGCTTCCAGCTGCCTTGCCAGTTCCGGGGAGGGCCCTGCGCCTGTGGCTTTTTCCCCTGCCCCCACTTCATAAAGACCAGGCAGCCTGGGAACAAGGCACAGCTGCCCAGCCCACAGAGACTGACGGTCCTGCCCCATGCTCTGCTTCTCCTGCCAGCAACTCAGACCATGGAAGATTCCCACCACGGCAGTGTCTTCCTCGTTCTTCTCGGTGAGAGCTTTGGGGGTTTCCCTTGGGTTCTGGACTGCCCCCCCCCACCTTGGAGAAATGGGAGGATCTGGTGGCAGCTCCCCAGCTCAGGGTGGAGGAAACCACAGGGGAAGAAAGGAGGCAAAAAATGTGTACCAGGACCCGAAGGCATTTGCTTTTAATAGAGGGCATGGGGAGTGCCAAGGAGCCTGGGGGCCAGAACCTCCATTGCAGGGTACCCCCAACTTATCCCCTGTTGTCTCAGTGGCACGGGAAGTCCCAGAAACCCCCCCCATTCTTGATCTCAGACCCAGCGGAACTCAGCTGTGGGCTGAAGGGATTTTGCCGGGTGAAAGTTTGAACTTGACTTTGCTGTGACTTCCCTGTTCATGTGCTTCTGCCACACCCAAGGTGGCCCTAACGGTTCACAGTTATCAGGACAGCTTGTTGCCTGAGCAACTGGGCAACAAAGAGAATGCAGAAATGGCATTTGGAGTGCCAACCGGATCCCCAACCACAGGATGGGGGTTCCCTGTGTCTACCCAGGGTGACAGGCAAGAACTCTGGGTAATCCCTAGCCCAGGCTCAGGAGCTAGGGACAGGGGTCCATTCAGCATACCTGATGGGGTTACCAACTCATAGAGCCCCGAACCTCACTTTCCACATGTGTAAAGTGGAGTCAGACCTGTCTCTACTTTTTAGAGCCGTGTTAAGTGTGGAGTACATTCACAGACAAACTCTTCCTGGCTCATAGTAAGAATTAAGCAAACAGGATTATTGTTGTTGTTACTATTATTTCTGCTGGGTAGTACACTGGCGGGTCTGGGCATGGGCTGGAGAAGTAAGCAGAGGTGGCAGCCCCACCCACACACAGGGTCCCTAAGCAAGAATCCTACCGCTCAGGACTGCCAGGGAAATGCAAACCAGATGGACTGGGAGCCCATAAACAGCAAACAACTTCTCTCCAGCTCCTGTTTGGGTCATTTCCAAGACCCCAGATGGAGAAGGCCCAGTGCAGGGTTAGGGGGTTGGAGAGCACAGCCCAGACCAGGCTGAGGGAATGAGCTCCTCCTCATAGTCTGCGGACCTGGACCTTTCGATTCCACCTTGTTAAGCCCCCTCTCTGCTCAACAGATTCTCCCTGAACTCAGTTTGTCCATCCATAGAATGGACATAGCCAGAGCCTCTGGCTCCCAGGGCTATTCAGAGCACAAAAGTTGCTATTTGGAAACTTGGGAGCTGGGCACAAACCAGCCCAGGTCCCATCCTGGCACAGAAGGTCATTTTGTGGTCTGTCCTGCAAAGAGGAACTGAGTCCCAGCGAGGAGACAACTAGAGAAGCCCTATGGCTGGAGAGGAAGGAGAGGGATCTTCATGGGGGGAGGAGCAGGGCATTCCAGCCTGTTTACCTGGGCTGAGGGCTTCTGGGCGGGGGTTTTGCCCTGCTGGACTGAGGGGAACCCAAGTTGGCATAGGGGCTAAGTGGTTGAGGGACCCTCTAGACTGTACCCCCAACAGCACCTCCAGCTGGCCTCTAGAATTCCTCTGGGAGCCCCTCCAGAGTAGGTCAGCCATGAGTCATCCCTCCCAGGAAGTGACTCATTCCCACCGTCCCTGGGCTCCCATTCTTTCTTCCCCACCACACACCCCACTTTGGGTCTCCCCGTATCATCAGGGTCTGAAATGCTTCCCCAGCTTCCCCACATGGGCAGAGACCAGATATTTCCCCCAAGCCTCTACCTGCTGCTGTCATTGTCTCCTCCCTTCCGTTGACACCCCCTTTCTAATAGCTTCCCTCTTTACATATCTATCTCCGTGTTTGTCCAATCTCCACCATCTGTCTGCCTATCTCTATCACTGTCTTAACTTCTGCCTGGTTTCTCTCTCCATCTCCCTCTTATCTCTCATCTTTATTCTCTCTTGGCCTGTGCCTCTCTCCCTCTCTCTCCCCCGTTTCTCTCTCTCTGTCTCTCCCTCCCACACTCCCTCTCTCTGCGTTTTTATCTCCTCTTTTTCTCCTTTTCCATCGCTGTCTCCTTATCAATCCCTCTTTTACGACTAGCTCACAGTTCCCTGCCTCTAGCACCCCTGGTGACTTGGGGAAGGTCCTCCAAGACATGCCCTGGGAGTGGGGTACACTGAACTGCAGGAACAGCAGGAAAGGAGGGGTCTGTTTGGTACCACCCCAACTAGAGCCCACAATGTTTTCCTGTGTGTGGGGAGCCCAGGGTGAAATGTCACCATAGGCTCCCAGGCCTGTCACGGGGCTGATAGATGTGGATACGGTGCGTGAACCTGAGAACTGAGGAAGGTAGGCCCAGAGCGCCTTAGTGCTGGGGTCTGAAAGAACACCTGGCTCAGTCTCCCCATTTTTACATAAAGAAATGATAGTAAACACTTGGACACATGAAGCAGTGCCTGCATGTTATACTACTCTAGAAAGTGGGCCCCCAGATCACTCCCACTTTACAGATGGGGAAATTGAGGCACTGAGCGGTGAGGTAACCTGACCAGGGTCTGGGATGTGAATCTCTCTACCTGGCTAGTTTGTTTTCTCAGTCCACAGTTCAGCTGGAGTCAGATCTGCTGCCTGCCTGGCCCCCTTCCTGGCTCAGGTCCTGCCCATCCCTCAGATCCTGAAACCCACTCCCGGGTTGTCAGCATCTTGAACCCAGGGAGGTACTCAGATTAATCTCCCCTTTAGCCAAGGACAGGGCATGAGCCTGGAGGAGTTAGCAGCTCCTGGTCCCCCAGATGTGTCCACTCAGGCCTTCCTGTTCCAGCAGCTCCCTGACACTCCCTCTCTCTGTTCCAGTGCTGTGTGTCTTGCTAACTCTATCAGAAGCTGGATCCCGGAAGCCCAGGGGTGAGTATGGGAACAACAAAGTTCACACCAGAGCCTGGAGAAGGGCCCCAGACCCCCACACACATCCCCTCAGCCCAGAGGGGAGAGGCCTGTTGCAGGCTGAAGCTTAGGACCACCCTTTCCAGGGCCATTCCTCTGGAGATGAACCTGCCCCTCCTCAGCCCCTGGTTCAGCCCTCACCCTCTGACTGTGGTCTCCGTCTCCACAATTACAGCTGCAGCCTGTGCTCCGTGGTGCCCTCCAAACTCCACATGTGTCAGCGCTACCGCCTGTCGTTGCCTTCCGGGATTCAGTTCTTTGTCTGGAGAGATCATCACCAACCCCTCGGAGAGTTGTGATGGTACAGAGACTTGAGGGGTGCTGGAGGGGTTCATGGGGATTGTGATGCATGATCCAGTGCCTGTGGGGTGGAATCTGTCTTCTGATTAAGCATCAGGCTCAATGCTGGAGCATCAGATAGAGGATGGCGATCTCTGCCCTGTGGAAGCCCACATCTTTAGGAGGTGACGCTTTGGCCTGTTGTATTCCAGACATCAACGAGTGTGGGCCACCCCTGACAGTGTCCTGTGGGAGATTTGCAGACTGCCAGAACACTGATGGGAGCTACCACTGCACGTGCATCCCAGGATATGAGCTTGTGGCTGGGGGAACAACATTCAGGAATGAGAGTGAGAACACGTGCCAAGGTAAGAGTGACCCTGAGTCTTCCATCTCATCTGTGATGGTTGGGTGTCACCAGAACCATTCTTGCAACGTTCAGGGTGCAGGTCATGATTACAGGTGCAGCCTGTGCCCGTCCCACCAGCACAGACAGGCAGGGTGGCGTGGGAGCTAAGGGCCCAAATCCTAACTTGGCCACCTGACAGGTGAGTGTGTGATGCTGGCGGGGACTCCTACTGAGAAATCACTGCTAATATACAAGCTGTGATTTTATTTATTTTTTTTAAGAATCCTTTTTACAAATGAAAACAAAAATAGCTTTTACTTTTTGTTGTGACTTTCACACTACTTCACCAATCTGTGCCTTGGTTTACCCATTTGCAAAAGAGAGGTGACAATGGTGCTTATTTCAGAATTGCTGGAGAGATATGCAAAATTACAAAGCACACAACAGTGATGGGTTATTGGCGTTTTAGATTGAAATTATCATTAAACCCTCTCCAAGATGGGCATTGTTGGGTGCCATGCTGCCCCAGTGTGACCCCCAAATGCCCCTCAGCTACACCCCTTCCATGGCTGTGCCTGACGACTTTGGGTCCAAGAGGACCTGGGCTTACAGGCACCACCAGGCTCTCCTGCTTTCCAGGAGAGCAGGCAGGCCGGGGCGGGGGCTTTAGTCATCCACAGGGGCAGACGGGGCCAGCAGTGGCTTGTAGGAGCCATGACTTCCCCAAGAGAGGTCAATACAGAACACTTAGAGGAAGGGGGTGGAGCACCTGCATGAGATACAGTGGGAGGGCTCCCCACCTGGGTGCTGCTGGTCCTCAGAGGCCTGTGGGAGAGTGTTGTGCCCCATCCACGTGGCCTGGTCACAGGACACATAGTCTTCATCGGAACTGCGAAAAGGCTTGTCATCACCTCCAGGTGAACAATGTGTTTGGGGAATGGAGAGAGGGCTGGTTTTTAGCCTCCACTTACCTCTTGACAGATGCCCTTGTGCAGTGAGCAACTGGCACAACCAAACATGGCGGTTGTGGTTTCCCCTCAGTGTGCCTGGGCTGGGGGAGCTCAGGTCCCTGGTGCAGATAGTGCTGGTGGTTACTGAAGATGTGTTGTGTGAGGACAGGCCAGGGCAGAGAGAAGAGGGCCCTGGCCGCTGCTCAGAGACATGGAACAAGAGTGAGGTGGGAAAAGGACCCCCATGTTCTTCAGGGTGGGTGACAAGGGAGAGCAGCCTGCTGGTATGGATCAGAGCCTGCCACCTGGAGCCCTAGCTCTGTGACGGGCACAGCTGGGCTGTCTGTGCCTCGCCCCTCCCTCAGCATTCCATCCCACTGTCCCAGGGACACCTCTACCCGTCATGGCAGCGGGGCCTGCTATGGGTGGGAGACCTCAGCCACACCCTGAGCTCCTCACCCCACTTGCTCAGATGTCAGAGGGCAACTGTGATCTTCCTATCCTCTGTGAACCCCAAGAGTCAGAACCCTTCACGGAAGGTAACTTCCATTGCTATGCCCGTCCTGCCACCTGGCATCTTATTTGTGTAAAACAAAAAAGGGGGCAGCAATCAAGTGTGTTTCAGCACAACATTCGTCCACTTCACCATCATCAGTGACTGTCGGGGATGAGACCTGTCCTCATCGGAACCCACACAGGCTTGGTCATCTCAGCTCCTCATGGCAGATGGACCTAGGGACCCCATCTGGAAGGTCAGGACTGAGATTTGAGGTTGGGTCCATCATACCCTGCTCCTGGCCAGCAACCTGCCTAAGGAAAATGCCTCTTGGCATCGGACCACATTTCTTGGATGCTCAGTCTCTGCTTGTTTCCCTATGCGAGTTTTTGCCCTAAGCCTGCCCAATAATTCCAGCTCATGGGGAAATGAGGGCAGCTCAGGTGACTGTGACTTGGGTTACATGGACCCTGCACACACACTTGGAGAGCTGGATAAATGGAAGAGGTTCCTGTTCAGCCCAGATGGTGAGAGAGGGCTTCACCAGGGACCACAGCCCCAGCCCACCCTTACCCACAGAGGTCAGCCTGAGGAGGCCCAGACCACTTGGGGACAGAAGACTCAGGGTGAGCGCCACTCAGCCGGCCTACAGGTCTGCATCCCTAATAGGAAACCAAGGGCTGAAAAGACAGAAATGCCTGTCACTCCTCGCCCGGCAGCACCTGCTCCCCTCTCCAACCCCCAGCCTTTACCCAAGGCTAGCCTTGCTCAGATGTGGGCTCTCAATTCCTGCCAGTCCAGCGGGGGGTCAGAAAAAGGCACCTGCACTATCCTCATACTGGATATCAGCCCCCGCTCTCCACCCCAGCCTGCACCCACTTCCCCACCCTGCCCAAAAGCCTTGTCTGCCAGGGGCTGGGCTCAGGGGTGGGTCTTGTCTGTCTCTATGGAGATGGAGTCTCAGTTAATGTGGATGAGAGAGTACTGTCCAGCCAGGCCACCGGATTCTAAGGAGGAGTCACACAGTGAGCAGAGTGCTGGGGAGACATCATCATGAACTAAAGGATCTGTGAGCGTTTTCCCTGCACTCAGTTCCCAGGAAGGGCCACTCTGGCCTTCATCTAAATCCTCAGGCTGGGACACAGGGGGCTGTGAGGTCCCCAGCCCGGCCTGGAGCTGCCTAGGAAGGTTGAAGGTCCAGGGCCTGGCAGACAGAGAGGACTCAGGCTGCTTCAGGCCACATCTGGACAACAGAGCATCTTGCCCACCACAATCACCCAGAGGATGCCTCCAAGTGAATTAAAAATGGCACCCACTCACTGAGGAGACAGTGGCAACTTCTGGATGTTTCTATGGCAGGAAACGTGACTGACACCCAACCCTGAAAGCTTCCTACAGCTGTAGGCACCTATCACCTTTTCCTTCCCCTTACAGACGTGGAAGAATGTAAGCAGAAGCCCAAAATATGTAAAAGTCGCAGCATCTGCGTCAACACTCAGGGCAGCTACACCTGCAAGTGCCAGCCCGGCTTTGAGCTCAATCCGAAGGATCCGAAGCTGTGCACAGGTAGAGGCCCTGGAGGATGCCACGAGGCTGCCCTGGAGCTAGGGAAGAGCTGAGAGGTCCTGCCGCAGAGGAGGGAGAAAATGCTCAGGTTCCCGCAGTGTCAAGGGCCTGCCAGGGTGCTGCCCAAGGATGCAGAGACCCCAACACAGAGCAGAGAAGCAGCAGGGCCTTCTGGGACTGGGGTTCACTTGTGGTGACCCCTGGCCATGTGAGCAGCCCCAGACCTTGCCCCTTCCTCATCTCTCATGTGAAAACAGGGAGGGATCACTTCTGGTTTCCAGAAGGGGAACCTGGGTTTGGGGCTCAGGAAGGAGCAGGCAAACTCTCTGGCCAGGAAGTCCAGCCTCTATGACTCAGTTTCCTTTCTGGTTTTGCCATCTACGAACTGGGGACTATGGTCCCTGCCACACTCATCTTGAGGGAGGACATCATAAGATGCACTGAGGGTGAATTGAAGGGCCAGATGGAGGCCCTTGGTGCTGGGCAGTGAGAAGCTAATGTAATGAGTGGAGACCTGACCCTCTGGCTTTGTCCCCAGATGTGAATGAATGTTCCGGAGGTCTGAACCCCTGCCACCAGACCACCCACTGCCTGAACTTCGTGGGAGGCTATGAGTGCCGCTGCCGCCCTGGCTGGAAGCCGGTCCCTGGATCCCCCAATGGCCCAAACAACACTGTCTGTGAAGGTGCAGAACCAAGATCCCCCTTCCCGGGACCACAGCCCACACCTGATCTCAGTCCATGCCTGACCATGGTCCATACCTGATCACACGTCAAGCAGCACAAAAAGCTTTAGAAACTAAATGTGAAAATATCTGAGGGACTCTGGGGAAGAAACCAAAGGGAAGGATCCCCCAGGGCCCAGGCAGCTGATTTTTAACCGAGAGGAAGATATGTCAGTATTCTCACAGCCAGCACATCTGCACGGGGCTCAGGTGCAGCATGTGGGGCCTTGGCCCCAGTTCCATGAGCCCCAGGCCCCCACTCGGGGATGTGTGGGCACCAGGTGGCATCACCTTCAGCCAGCAGCGGTGGGAGACGCTTAGCCTGGAAGAAGGGAGAGGGAGACAGACAGGGGAGGGGCCTGACCCCCTTCTTGTCTCCAGATGTGGACGAGTGCAGCTCTGGGCAGCACCCGTGTCACACCTCCACCCACTGCGTCAATACTCCGGGCTCATACAAGTGCCGTTGCCCCCAGGGCTGGGTGCCCAAACCTGGATTCTCCAATAACCAGAAAACCACCGTCTGTGAAGGTACCTGGTCCCACCTGACCCAGACGTCCTCCTCTTCCAGGAAGTCTCACACCTGAAAATCCACTGCTTGTCCCTAGCAGAGATCTTCCCCACCTGACTCCCCACCCCCTGAAGTCAATATTTTCACCATCCACAAGGGGCTCCCGGGCCACCTCTGCACAAGCCCCTGGCTCTGAGTCTAACTCAGGGATGTGTGGTCACCAGGTGGCTCATCTCCAGCCAAACAGGGCAGATGGAGGTCTGGGGGGGCAGGCAGCACTTCCACTCTGAAGGGGGTGGTACACAGACATGAGAGGGGCCTGACTCCCTTCTCCACATCCCCAGCACCCAGACCTAACCTGACCCCAGACCTCCCCACAACACAATGACCTGTTTGTTCCCTGCAGAGTTTACCTTCCCCACCCCGACCCTGCCTCCTGAAATCAAGAGCAAGGTGAGTGGCTCCAGTGGGGACCAGGGGACAGGAATCCCTCTACAGCCCATTTTTCCCCAAGCTCCTCCACCTACTCCTGAGGTTCTCTGACCCTCATCTTCCTTCTTCCCAGAGACTCTCCAGTTACTTTAAAGAAGTCCAGGATCTTGAAAGAAAATTCAAGTCAACTGAGCCCCAGAACACCATCAAGGTACGGGCAGGACCTAGGGGTCCCCAGAACAGTGTGGGTGGCCAGGAAATGCCTCAAAGTGAAGTGAGGTACCCAAGCAGGAGCCATGGGTAAGAGAAAGACATGTGTCTGTACGCACACATACACATACCATATATACAGTTGACCCTAGAACAAATTGGAAGTTAGGGAAACTGACGCCACTCACAGTCAAAAATCCGCATATATATATATAACTTATAGTCAGCATATGACTTACTGTTGGGCCTCTGTATCCGAAGGCTCTGCATATGTGGATTCACCAACCAACATCTGTCCAAGGTTGGTCAAATCCATGACTTCAGAGACACCATCGGGAAAAAAATCAGCAAAAAAATCAGTAAAAATGAACCTTGCAAGTCAAACTTGTGTTATTCAAGGGTCAACTGTATAATTACACAAACACACAGACATACACACCCCAAAATGTGCAAGTGCACACTCACATGGACACACACATTAGAGAGGGATAGCATAGAATGGAGCAGTTACGAACCTCACCACTGGGTGAAACAGAGAAAGAAAAAAATAATAGTAAAAATGTATTTCACTTTTGGAGCCAGACCACAATTCAATCCCCCCAACTCCCTGATTAACCCCATCCTCCCTGCTGCTACTTTCTGCTGTGCAACCTCAGGCAATTTACTTCCCCCTCTCTGGGCAATGGTTCCTGCTTCACACAGTCAATGTGAAGGTTTAATGAACTAGCAGAAGTGAAGCTCAAAGAACAGTGCCAGGCCTACATGATCATCAGAGACAAGTTTTAGTCCAGTAGAAATCTAGGAGCCTCTTAATGCCATTTAAAATTTTTCAGTGGCTGCATTGAAACAAAATAAAATAAACCCAACAGATGCAAAATACTACCATTTCAGTGCAGATAGCTTTCAAGTATTCAATAGTCACATGTAACTCAAGAGGTTTCTGATAGTGCAGACTTAGAACAAGCTGACACCAGGCCCATGCCTGATGAGTGTCAGGCACCACTGTTGTTATAATACATGTACATGATACATATACATATAATAAAGGTGTATGTACTCCACCCCCTTATCTTCTGGCTACTGCAGTATCTAGATGATTCCCCTAAACCTGTCCCCCAGGCAATCCAAGTCGTTCCCTTGTGTCCCCCTGTGGAAGGGAGATGTATGACAGTTGTTGGGTCATTGCTGTCCCAATGTGAGCTCAGGGTCTTTGGGACAGTAATGATCCAACAACTATCACACATCACCCCCAGGGTTTCATCCAATCAGTGGATAATCTGTTGGAAAACCCTGAAGACCTGGAGGCCCTCGCCCTTCCTGAACGACACCACATAGCCACCATCCTGCTCTTCAACCTAGAGTTGATCCTGAGGTCCCTTGCCAAGGTTATGCCAAAAGCACCCTTCACCTACTATTCGCCTTCAGACACAGGTGAGGCATCATCCTGTCCTGCCCCAGCCCTGAGGCCCCATCCTGCACCTGGAGCCCCCAATCACTGCTGTCTCCCCTTAGCGCTGTCCCTGATGATCAAGGATCCAGGGAATGATAATGTCACCGTGGGCCATGCCCTTGCAAAGATGCTGCTGAACTGGGCTGTGGCAACTGGAGCTGAAGACTCAAATAATGGCAGGGGTCCAATCGGTGAGGAAGCAGGAGCTGGGATATGGCTAGTGGTGAGGTTCCAAATATGTAACAGCTGGAAACTGACCCATTGGGAGGGATTCCAGGCATCACCAGGGACGGGTGAAGCATGAATTAGGAGGAAGAATGGGACATGGCAGCAGGAGGGCAGGAGAAGGTAGCCAGCATTTCTCCCGCAGTTCCCACTGTGGCAGGCATCTTCTCCAGCCGAAACATGCAGAAAATGGTGGTCAACGCCTCCTTGGATCTAGACCCCAAAAAGATATCTGAGCTGGAAAAAACTTACGAGGGGCCCATCAGAGGTGCCCAGCTGAGGATCGTTTCAGCCATCAACTCGGTGTTTCTGAGTAACAAGAATACAGAGAAACTTGACTCTCCAGTCACCTTCGCCTTCTCCCATCTTGTAAGTTATTGGGGGGTAGGGGGTTTTCAGCCCTACTGTTAACCCCATAGCCAGGGTCATAGTGGTCCTGCCTTTCCCCACTTCTACCATTCTGCTCCTTCCTCAAACCTACTTCAGGGCCTTTGCACTTGCTGTACCCTCTGCCTGGGACACTTCTCCCACATGATTCAGCTCTTTACCTTTTTCCAGCCTGTTCCAATGCCACCTTCCTCTTATATAGAATTACCATCTGTAAGTATGTTCCACCTCTCACCTATGCTTTTTCCTTTCTTTTTAAAAAATACCACTTATCACCTTTTATTACTCCCCCGTGTCTGACCTGCTTACTGCTGTGTCCCCTGGCCAGGCACACACAGTAGTCACTCAGTAGATACTTGTCAAATGAAAAGCTGGAATCCCCAGGCTCAGCCTGAGTTCGGGACCCAAGAGTGGGCTCCAGGGTAAATTCTTAGAGCACCTCCACCGGCCAGCAGGAGTCAGGCCAGCAGAAGACACCTGGACCACGGCAGGAACTGATTTGTGCCTTCTGGAAGCATGACCATGTCAGGGGCGGGCACTGGGCCACCACGGGCTGCCGGACACTGGGCAGCGGGAGTAACAGCACCACTTGCCAGTGCAACCACCTAAGCAGCTTTGCCATCCTCATGGCCCACTATGACGTGGAGGTGAGCAGCCTGGGGTCACCCTCACAAGCTCAGAGGTACAGGCAGCCGGTTCCGGGTAGTATGACCTAACTAACTGTTCAAATACTTCTGTCTGATTGCACTGCCCTAGTGGCCCCACCTCTCACCCCCTCCCTATGTCTTGCAACTAAACAGTGTTCCTGCCATTGCACAGGGCCTCTGACCACTGGGAGCATAGAGGGAGCACATGTAGAGAAGGAAGCTGAAAAGCGTTGGACTCAGGCCTCCCTCGTGGTGTAGGAGTTAAGTCTCAGCACCATCATGCTATCCTTGCTATGGCCTGAGTTCGATCCCTGGCCTGCCGGAGAGCTGATCCACATATGGTAGAGCAGACCTCTCCTGTCTCGCCCACAGCTCCCCTTAGCAATGTATTTCAGTGGATCCACCTGTTCTGCTCCCCACTCTTTCTCTGGTGAATCCTCTCACACACCCCACCCCCACACTTTTGGCCTACACACCAGTTCCTATATGCATAAATTTAAAAAAGCATGGGACTAGATGAGGTGATAGTTTGGCCAGGTATAGGAGGGACAGAAGAGGTCAGAGAAGTAGCCATGGAAGGCCCGATCAGGTGCTTAGAGACAGGAAGATCCCTGCTGCACCCATGGTGTGTCGAAGGGGGCAATGTTTAGAATTGAGAGACAGCAGGCTTGCTCAGATGTGAGAAAGGGAGTGGTGGGTGAGGAGGCAAGGCCCCTGATCAGAGATCCACAGATGAAGTCCCAGGAACTACAAGGAGGGCTGGAAAGCCTAGGGGCATTAATCAAGCCCTGCCCACCACACCTGCATCTAGGACTGGAGGCTGACTCTCATCACCAAGGTGGGACTGTCGCTGTCCGTGATCTGCCTGCTGCTGTGCATTCTCACCTTCCTGCTGGTGCGGCCCATCCAGAGCTCCCGCACTACCGTGCACCTGCACCTCTGCATCTGCCTCTTGGTGGGCTCCACCATCTTCCTAGTGGGCATCGAGAACGAAGGTGGCCAGGTGAGGCCCTGCTGGGTGGAAGGCCCCACTCTCACCTCAGGCCCTGGTCAGTGGGCCCAAGCCCCCTTTCCCTTTCTTTCCCCTCTCCTGCGACCGGTCAGCTGGCCCTGCCCACAGAGGGTTGAGACCTCAAGGCCCCACTTCGACTCAGTGCCCTTCCCTCTGCCCTGCCCCCATCCCACAGGTGGGGCTGCGCTGCCGCCTGGTGGCCGGGTTGCTGCACTACTGGTTTCTGGCCGCCTTCTGCTGGATGAGCCTAGAAGGTCTGGAACTCTACTTCCTCGTGGTGCATGTGTTCCAGGGCCAGGGCCTGGGCAAGCTCTGGCTCTACCTGATCGGCTATGGTGTGCCCTTGCTCATCGTGGCCATCTCAGCTGCCAGCGCAGCTGCCCTCAAAATCCAAGGCTACGGCCGTGCCAGCTAGTGAGTGCTGGGTAGCGGGGCAACGGAGGGTGGGATGCCAGGTCTGCATAGCTTCTCTCCTCTGTGATCTAAGCTGGTATTATGGGGCACTGACTGGAATCCACCCCTTCTCACCCAGCTGCTGGTTGGACCGCGACCATGGCTTTCTTTGGAGCTTCCTGGGACCTGTGACCGTTATTATTTTGGTAACTGCACCACCCCCCTCACTGAGCCCGGAACTCTCCACAGTTCCGAGAAAGGCCCCTAATATGAATCCTGTGCTCCCTACCTAGTGCAATGCTGTCATCTTTGTGACCACTGTCTGGAAGCTCACTCAGAAGTTTGCTGAAATCAACCCAGACATGAAAAAATTGAAGAAAGCTAGGTGACAGCACAGGGCAGAGAGGGACTGGAGGAGAGAGGATGGGCTATGAGGCAGGCCCCCTGACTGCCACTGCCCTCCTCCCCCAGGGTGCTGACCATCACAGCCATCGCCCAGCTCTTTGTGCTGGGCTGCACCTGGGTCTTTGGACTGTTCCTGCTCGACACGCGGAGCTGGCTGCTGACCTACACTTTCACTGTCCTCAACTGTCTACAAGGCCTCTTCCTCTTCGTGCTGCACTGTCTGCTCAACAAGAAGGTGGGCTGCTAATAGGGTTACTGTGGGCGGTGGACCCCCAAGCCCCAGCCTGTCTCCTCCCCTGACCTGGCACCCTGGCCTGCAGGTGAGGGAGGAATACCGGAAGTGGGCCTGCAGGGTCACTGGGAACAAGTACTCAGAGTTTGCTACAACATCCACGTCGGGCTCCAGCCACAACCAGAGTCGGGTAAGGGCTATGCCTTGAGTGGGGGAGAATGCACCCCAAGAGCATCTCAATCCACACCAGCTCCTTTCTCTCTAGGCCCTCAGACCATCAGAGTCTGGCATGTGAAGGAGTCCTGGCCAGGCCTGCAGCTCCTGTTGCCTCAGCAGCTTTTGTACATGCTTAAGTGCCCCTTCTCCTGCCGCCCTGCTCCCTCCAAGGCCTGACAGGTGTAGTCTGGCACTTAAACAAATACCCAGCCGGAGTGGAAGGTTGGACCTACAGAGCCTGCTTCTGTTCCATTCTGGCTGTGACTTGGGGTAGGGGCAGTCGCTGCAGCCCGTTTCCTCTGGTACAAACTTGAGAGCTGTGTGTGGCTTGGCCCTTCTCCTCAGCCATCTTTGCTACAGAACAAGAAGCCAAGGGACTGGGGTTCAACTTCCCAAGTAAAGCTAAGACCGAAGGTGAGAGAAGCCTCCAGGCCACTGACTAAAGCTAACGGTACAGAGGTCCCATCTGCTCCTGGAACAGAGGGTTCTCACTATTTCAAAAGTTGTGGATGTTGTGTAATGGTTTTTTTTTCTTTTTTACCTGATAAACCTTTCCAAGTTGACACTTAAAAAATTAAAAAACAAACCAATACAGAAGGTGGTGTTGCTGGCTGACTCGGGGCTCACAGACCAGGCCCATTCATTTTGTCCATGGGTTGCTAATAACAGAATTACACAAGGTGGGAGCCAGGCTTCCATAATAAAAATTTATTCTTACACAAATCTACAGCTTCTCAACAATAAAAAGAAAGACCTACTGTTGCCTAGAAAGAGGACCTGAAGAAGCATTTGGGAAGTAAGGCATTTCCTGGCTGCCAGCACATGGTTACCGGCTCTGCTCAACTGTAAAACACACAAACAGGAGGTCAGTGAGGCATGGCCCTTGATCCTCAAGATCCACCCCCACCAGGGGTTCACTAGACCACTTACTGTATGTGGAGATATCAATTTCCTCAGGAAGTTCTGCCACATTCACTTCAAACCGGTCCTGAACATCATTGAGGATTTTGGCATCATTCTCGTCAGACACAAAAGTGATAGCCAGGCCTTTGGTGCCAAAGCGACCCGCACGGGCCACCTGCAGGGAGGAGCAAGAATCAGGCCTGAGGCACAAGTTGAAGACCTCAGGACAAGCTAGCTAGGTAGGATATGTTAGGAACATGACACTTCTGTGGGAATACTCACCCGATGGAGGTAGGTGTCTGAATCCTCAGGCATGTCATAGTTGAAGACGATGTTGACTCGTTCAATGTCCATGCCTCGGCCAAACAGATTAGTGGCCACCAGGATCCGCCGCTGGAAGTCCTTGAACTGCTGATAGCGTGACAGTCTGGGTGCAGGAAGAACAAGAGGTAACCGTCAGATACAGGTTCCTGAGGGTCATCCTCCTCTAGGGCGTGCCTGGGGCCTGGCAGGTGGTGTACTCACCGCTCCTCCTGGGCCATGCCCCTGTGGATGGCAATGGCTGGGAAGTTCTGCTCCACAAGGAGCTGGGCTAGGGCCATGCAGCGCTGAACTGACTTTACAAAGATCACCACCTGCAAGGGGAGGGGGGAGTGAGGGCAGTTAGGTCCTGTACTCCAGCCACTCAGGAGCCCAGAACAGACTGGACAATAGTGTCAGTCACCTGGTTAAACTCCAGCACATCCAGGAGATCGAAGAGTTTGCGGTTCTTCTCACTGTCTTTGAGCTTGACATAGTATTGCTGCAGCCCATGTAGTGTGAGCTTGGTCTCATCATCCACAAACACCTCCATGGGCTGTGCGGGAAGGGGCGGGCAGGGCTTACTTCCTGGTCTCCTGTCTGCCCAGAACCTTCCAGGGAGCAACTCCAAGCTTCGATGTTCCCCAGAGGGGCTGCTGCCCCCCGAATACTTCTCTCCCAAAGGCTGGGGCTGAGCTCTTGTCCAGATCAGGTGGAGACCAGGCTGGGCCCCCAGTCTGTGGGTTTCCGTGGAGCAGCACGAGCTCAGGCCCCCAACCCAAGAGGGCCAAGGCTGCTGCACCAAGGTCCTGGCCACTGTCTCGCCCTACTCACATCTTGCATGAATTTCCTGCAGACGGGCCGGATCTCTTTGCTGAGGGTGGCACTGAACATCATGCACTGCTTCTCATGGGGTGTCAAGCGGAAGATCTCTTGTACATCCCGCCGCATGTCTGGGGAGGATGGCAAGGAATGGGTGGGTGTGTCTGCCAGACCTCGAACCCCACCCGAGACAAGGCCCAGCCCCTCCCCACCTGTGCCAGGGAGACGTGGGCACCATGATGAGGGCGGTGTGAGCCGAGCAATGGAGGGAGGGGTGAGTCCAGGGTGCCTGAGAGGCTGGACTCAGGGCCAGCATAGGCGGGAGGAGCTGCCGTCCACTTACACGCTGCCAGAGCGGAGCAGCCGTGCCAGTGCACCTCGAGCCACGCTTCAGGGAGAGCAGCCTGAGGCAGAGATAGCTGCTGGGGTGAGAGCTGCAGCTGCCTCTCAGGACAAGCCCTATCTCCCACCAGCCTATTGGGGCTCACTGAGGACAGGCAGGTGCCTAGAACTAACCTGGCAAATGGTGAGACCACAGTATTCCAAGAGTAACATGTACATGGGGCCCTGTTTGGCTTCGATTCAAAAGCAGCAGGTCTGCTAATACTGAACTTTCCCTAAAATCACTTACAGGAGGTCTACATGCCAGCCACCCATGTAACCCCACTCTAAGGACTCCTTTCGCCTGCCCCGTCAGGGGCCACCTGGCTGTAAGTCTGAGGACTATGAGGGTGGGAGGATAGAGCTGGGGCCTATGTGGTCCCCACAGAGCAGTGTGGATACTCACCCAGCTGCTCCAGCATCTTGTCACACTCATCCAGCACAAAGTGCTTCACATTCTTCAGGTTGAGACTCCGGTTACGCACAAGTGCTAGGATTCGGCCCGGAGTCCCTACCACGACATGGGGACAGTTCTTCTTCAACACCTCCTCGTCCTTCTTGATAGAGAGACCTCCGAAGAATACAGACACCTATGAGGGTAGAGAAACGCTGCTTTCACTCACGTGGGGCTGAAGGCTCACACCCACTTGGTACTAGTGCCAATGGCAGCATGGACCCCAGCCACCCCCATCAGAAGGCCTGCAGGACACATGCTAGTCTGAGAGCCGGGCCATGGCTCCACTGAACAGCAGCCCTCAGGCTGGGACTGGCATGGCCTCTGGGGATGTGCATAATTCATAAGGCTTTTAAGGAGCATAAACCACCACAAACCTCAAAGGCAGCAGCTCAGCCAAGCTTGGTAAACGCGGGCTGGGGCCCAGCTGAGGCCAACAAAGCTGCAGAAGGCCATGTGGTGCCTGGCTGGCCAGAGGACACTCACCTTGACACTGGGCATGTACTTGGAGAAGCGCTCATATTCCTTGCTGATCTGAAAGGCCAGCTCCCGTGTGTGGCACATTACCAAGACTGTCACCTGGGAGACGGGTGGGAGAGACACACTCAAGGCATTGTCGTTATTCCTCCCCACAATAGCTGGCCCCCTGCCCACCAGGCTCCCACCTTCCTAGGTTTGAATCATTCCAAGGTTTAATCTAAACGCCTCCACCTTCCCACAGTCTTGCCTCCTCTCAAGACTAACGCTTCTACCCTGCCAAGCTGGTGCCACCACCATACCAGAGGCTTCCTCTAGCTGGCTCTCACCACTGGGAAGGGCTGCCCTGCCTTCTTCCACAACACCAAACACAACAACCCCTCCCCTCCCACACACACACACACAGGATTCCTGTCCTCACCATCTACCTTAAGGGAATGAGGGCTTACATACCCAAGAATGTGTGCCCCAGCCTGACAAGAGCAAAACACTGGAATTCACCTAAATTAGTCCCCAACACAGTGGATACACCTTTATGACATGAGCAGATAGCTACAGCCTGCCAGCAACAATAGCAGTAACAACCCTGTTGGTGTGAGGCCCCTTCAACAAACATGTACACACTAAGCTAACAGCCATGTCTCTGGATGGTAAAACTGAGGGCACTTTTCACTTTTATTTCTTGGTCTATGGGTGTTTTCAGGTTTTGTTACTTAGTAATGTACTTAACTTCATAGGGCGCACAAAAAGAGCATGAGAACAGTTTTTAACCTGTCCACCCACCTACCTGTCCGTTGACAGGCTCGATCTGCTGCAGGGTGGCCAGCACAAAGACTGCTGTCTTGCCCATCCCTGACTTGGCCTGGCACAGGACATCCATGCCCAGGATGGCCTGAGGAATGCACTCGTGTTGAACTGAAGATGAGAGGGCAAAAGGGTTAAAAATCCAACTCTCCCTCCTGCGGACTTCACACGGATGCTGAGACACACACAAGGGCAAAAGGAAAGGCCTGGCACAGGGGAGCCAGGATACATACCCTCAGATGGATGCTCAAAGCCACAGTCCACTATGGCCCTCAGGAGTTCTGGCTTCAGCAGAAAGTCCCGGAAGCCAGAGCTGTGGATGGAGACGTAGGAACCCTTGACATCTTTCTTAGGGGGAGCTGGAGTGCTCTCTGAAGGCGCCTGGGGCTCCTCATCTTCCTCATAGTCCAGAAGCTCATTCTCCACATCCTGTTCCGCCATGGTGCTGGGAACGGGGAGGGGAGCACAGGATCAAGGGAGCAAATGAGGAAACTGAGAAACTTGCTCATAGCAGGTTGAGGCTGGGCTGTGTGGCAGATCTGCAGGGGTCCCAGCTCCACTGAGCAGTACCTCCCAGCTGCGGCCTGCTGTGACCATAGCTCCGCACCTTCCTCTAAACCACACCTCCAGTGCCTCCCCCGCCCCACAGAAAGGCCCACCCTCTCCACCTCCCACCCCAAGTAAAACCTAATCCATAATTCCTCCTCACAGCCTTCCCAGGCCTCTCCAGTGGTCACTACCCTCCTCACTCCACACCATCTCCAGCCTGGCTGGGCCAGTCAGACTCAGAAGGCCCTACCCTAAGTTTTGGTGCTCCACTGCCACCACCAGGACCTGGCTGTGCCTGGCTCTAGGCTCCAATGCTGGGTAAAGGAAGCCCCTCCCTGTCACTCCACAAAGAACCCACCTGGTCTGCATGGGGCGAGACCCCTGAAACCTGGAGCTGCCAGGATGCCCGTAAGCTTTGTGAGAGCAGGGTGTGCCCCACCCTGCTGCTCCTCCACTATTTGTGGACTGCACAAGGGAATAATTAAGTGCTCTCATGAAAAGGACTCCCATTGGTCCAGGGCCAATAAAAATAAAGTTGAGATGGTAAATAAATACAAAGCTCAGCGTACCTCCAGGGCTTATTTAATTCAACATACACAGCGCACCTTCTGGGTGCAAGCCATGCTACAGGGGACCCAAACTTTTTCCCTCCCCACCCAGCTTCCAGCCTGGGGTAGAAGGGTTAAAGCAGTCTGCTTCTTCCCGAGCTGAATGGAGGCCCTGTTTCTGACCCCACTGTTTCTCCATGGCTTCATCCGGCCCCAGAGCTGTCACCACATCTATGCAGACACCCCCCAAACTCTCTCAGCAACCTCTCCCCTCAACTCCAGAGCAGTTACCCAGTTATCTCTTCCACAACTCCCTTTTAAAGCTGAACTCAAAATGCCAAGAGCAGAAACTGTTTCTCCACAAAGGCCTGTTTTTCCCATCTCATTAAAGAGTGTCCCATTCTCTCAAGGGTTGTCTTTCTCTCTCACACTCTTCTGTTCAGTCAGTCAACATAACACCAGATCAATCAGGTAACTTCTCACCCTTGCCCCTTGGTGGGCCCCAGCTGCCATCGGCTTTTTTTTTTTTAAGTTAGAATAGTTTTATCACGATATTCACATGTCATACAATTTACCACTTAAAATTATAGTTCAGTGGTTTTCAGTGTAGTCACAGGCATGTGCTATCACCATCAGTAAGTTTTAGGACATTTCATCATCTCAAAGATGCTATACTTAAAATGAAATCAGCCCACCCACCCTTCAACCCTTTGGTGAGCACTAATCTACTTTCTGTTCTGTGGGTTTGCTTTTCTTTTTTTTCTGGGGTGGGTGGCATGTGTGGGATGGGAAGACGCATGGTTGGGGGAGAACCCTCCCATGCTCATCCTGGGCTGGCTGGTACTGCCCACCTCTCAGGCAGTCACAACTAGAACAAGCCACCAGAGTGACCCAGCAGGTGATTCTGGTCTCAGAATAGACACAGTTACCTCTTGTCCCTTCTCTTTCAAAGAGGGGGTGGGGGGCAAGAGTGGGTATGGAGACCCACAGGGTCTGCACAGAGGTACCCTGGGTCTGGGGAGGGCATCAGTGCCTCCTCCAGCAGATTTGCCTATTTTGGTATTTCAAATGGAATCACACACTCTGTAACTGTGTCTGGCTTCTTTCATTGATATTATATTGTGAATGTTCACCAACATAGCAGCACTTGTGTGTATCAGCACTTCATGCCATTTCATGGCTGAATAATATTCCCTTGTACCAGGACAGTCATGCAACACTTAATGGTGTTTCAGTCAACAGTGATGCCCATAGGTTCTACCATATAGCCTAGGTGGGTAATAAGGATATTACCCACTTTGGTTTGTGTAATTACATTCTATGTTGTCCACATAAGAAAAGAATCACCTCAAAAACACATTTTCTCAGAATATATCCCTGTTGTTAAGCTACCACAGTTAGATGATGGGTATTTTGGGTGCCTCATCTCTTCCCTGGCTAATGCCAATAATCTCACTAATCCCTATTTTCCAACCTCCGACTCTACTTCATCCACTCTCCACAGCAGCCAGAGGAAACCTCTAAACTGTGCCAGAATAAAAGTTAAGAGTCCTCACCATGACCTACCAGGACATATAGGACCTGACCCCCTCCATGCTCACACCTCAACACTCCCATACCCCTTATTAACGCCACACCACTAACATACCTTAGCACCACTGTACTTTCTATTCCTGGACCATCACAAATCTTCTGTCGCATGTTGCTCTAGAAAGGCTTTTGCTGCCAGCATCCCCTCCAGTCATGCCAGACTTTGCCCAACCCAGCACCTAGCACAGGGCCTGGCACACATTACTTAAGATAGTAATGGCTGAATGAATGAACGAGAATCAAGGATTTAAGACAGAATTTGGAGGCTAAAGTCTGCTTGCATGCTTATCAGATTCTTGAAAGAGGCCATCCAAGAGCCATAATGTGACAGGCAAAAAAAAAAAGGTGGGGGGGGACTATTTCCCAGGCACCAAAGGACAACAGGAAGCTAGGAGAGGTGAGTCCAAAAAGCATCCTTTGAGACCAGAGACAGTATCTGGCTGGTTCAAGTGGAGGATGCTTGGGTCTAGCGTTTTCACTTTATCTGCTAAGCAACCAAGAATCTATGGGTTTTTTTTTTTTTCCTTTTTAGTTGAGTGACTTAATCAGGATTTGCCCAAGAAATAATAACCCTGTAACATGGTGGTTACATTGGGAAACTATCACCAAAGAAAAAAAGAGGATTAAGATTAACTAGGGTGGAGGCATTAAGCAGGGAAGAAGGTGGACCACCATAGTGTGGACCATCCTCTAGGTATTCTGTGGATGGAAAAGAGCCAGAGTCATCTGCTTTGGGCTTCAAACCTTGGTGATTGCGATAGTGTACATTAAAGAAATATGGTTAATCCTAATCTCTGTTTCATGGAGAGATTCGGGGACAGATTTTGAGGTACAAAATTTTATAAGTGGCCAGACAGGAACTAAAGCTCGGCACCAATTAGGTCAGGAGAGGATTTGGCGGGCTTTGCCCTTTCTGACGGGGTGGCTGTTATGGGCCCAAGACGCGTGAACCGCGAAACTAGAAAGCACACAAACGCGCACCCAGAGACACTCATGCCCCAGGGGAGAATTTCGAATTCGAAATTTGTTCCCCACGCGACTGCTATTTCCAAAGAACATCTGTTTTGCCCTAAATCTCCGGTACCCCAATGTCCTAAACGCAGAGCTAAAGCAGAGCCGAAGGGGGAGGGGAAGGCGGGGGGCGGGTGCCTCCCGGAGAAGGCTGACCGGTCTGCAATCCCCGGTTTCTCCCAGAGACGACTCAGACCTAGTCTTCGCCCTCCGAGACTCCCCATCCCACTCCCCATCCACCGACGGCCCCTCACGGCTTCAGTGTCTATGGAAACAGAAAGAAACCTTCCCCAACACCCGCTTGTCCGGGAGCCGCCATGACAACCCCTCCCGGAAGCGGGCCGCGAGCGCCGCGCGCCAACGGCCGACCCGCCCCTCGCGCATGCGCCCCGACGTCCAACGGCCACCGCCACACGCGCGGGACACCCCAACCGCCCCGCCCCCCTCTCCTCGCGCCCCCAACTCCCCTTAACCCTCGGCGTCTCCCCTCAACATCGCCCGCAGGTCCCATATCCCCGCGCCAGGGCCCCGCGCCGCGGCCCCGCCGCTTACCTGGTTCCCCGTTCGCCTCCGCGTGCTGAGAGGAGAGCCGCTCGACTCGGTTACCGGTCTCGCGCCCCCACACGCGGTACCGCGCTTCCTGCCTCCAGCGTCCGACTGTAGCGCCCCTCACTGGATCTCCAGCTTTTCATTCAAGAGAGAACGAAGCGGTGATTGGAACTTGGGGGAAGCGTTGAGAAACTATTGGTGGAAAAAGGAAAAGGGCGTGCCTCATGGCTCGGGTTCATTGGTCAATCTATAAGTAGGCGCGGGAGTAGGCTGAGCCCGGCACGCCGTCACGTGATCTGGGGTTTGCCTTGGGCGGGCGGCACCATGTTCAGTACTGGCTGCGAAGCCGGGGTGACTGGCCTGTGGCTATAGTCTTATCGTTATGAAATGTGGCCTCTACGGTGGGTTTTGACCTCTGGGCTTGGGGCTGGGCACCAATCCGCAAGCCCCCTGGGTCCTAAGGGGGGAAGGCTCTGAAAGGACTGTGGGGATGATCGGGAGCTAGGAATGACTCCAGCGTGGACAGGACGTTTTGCAACGGGAGTGGAGAAAGCGGCCGCTCAAGGAGTGAATGAGAAATGGTCATAAGCATCAGTTCCATTTGCTGAGGGTCTTGTCCTGGACCAGACACTGCTGTGCAGGTTCAGACCACAAAACCAAGGCCAGAGTGTTTTGTCATTATTTTATTCTTTATTGTAAAATTTGCTAACTTTTCCCCCTCCCCCCACTGAGGTAAAGTTTGTAATAAAAGGAACAAATTCAATTATTTTTGGCAATTGTCGCCCAAGTCACTATTGCCCAGTGAAGATACAAAATATTTGCATCACCCCAGAAAGTTTTGTGTCCTTCTCAAGTCAACCACACCCCTCCCTAAGATCCATCAGGCAACCACTATGTGGATTTCTATCATAGATTCATTTTGTCTGTTCTTGAATTTTATATAAATGGAATCGTGATTATCTTTTGTGTCTGGATTCTTTTGCTTAACAAAATTTTTTTGAGATTTGTCAATGTTGTATTTATAAATAGTTCATTCTTTTTCATTGGTAAGTGGTATTCTACTGTGTGCTTCTACTGTTGTTTTTTAAAAGATTTATTTATTTATGCTTACAAGAGCTGGGGTACAGGCCAGAGGTGGTGGGGGGGAGGGGATTCACCATGTTAGGGGGAAAAGGATGTCCTAAAGCTAATTCCATACAGGCTTTGTGGACTCCACCCCCACCCCAGGCCAAAGCCAAAGACACTGGGAACTCCAAATCCCATCACCACCAAAGGGAAGGTGGCTGGGACGTGAGGGTGGGGTTAAGCAGCCAGGTGTGGTATAAAGCCAGACACGTGGGCTTTGGAGGGGTCCCCCATTTTGGCTCTCCGCCAGCTCCCAGCGTTTGGCCAGCTCTGAGAGTGCTTTTTGGGTTTCCAGGTCAGCGAATTGGGTAGGACGCATTAAAGACTTTATTTCCCTATTTTCTCCCTGAGTTGTACATTTTCCTTATTTCCTTTTCCCTTGTAAATAAACCGTTTATTAACCTTTTGTGTATGCCTGTAGTGGAGTATTAATAAAGTATTATTGAAAGGTCAAGCGCGCGGGTGAGGACCCACAGCCAGGCAACCCGTTCAATATCAGGGTTGCCCTGTAAAAACCAGAGACATAGTGGGGAACAAAACAGGCAGATTGACTGAAATACACAGCTGAAGAGAGCAGCGGGCAAGACAGGAGAGGTTTGCTGCGCCATGTGGGTTGCTCCCTGGCCGACTGGGGAATCGAACTCAGTGACTGGTGATAGCTTGATAACACTGTCTTTAACCCCTGCACCACCAGCGAGGCCCTGTGTGCTTATACTGTTACAAGGCAATAAGGGGTAATAAAACTGCCAAGGACAGTGCCCAAATAGTGTTCTGGTCACTGTCTGAGTTTTTCACCCACATGCCCAAATGCAAGACCACTCAGATTCAGGGAATAATAATAATGGGATTTATTTAACAGTCACTGAGGCCACAAGTGGTCAGTTATCTCACATTAGAGTCCACAGTGTTCAGAAGTCCTAAACAAAAAGGCATCCAAGATGGCGTCTTCCCACCACAGAATACCTGAAACATGTATTTCAAATAAAAGGCCAGCAACAAAAGTCTTGAGCAGTTTTTGCCTCAATAGCAGGTATGATGGGGGCTGAGGTGACTGACCCCAGGAATGGCTGATCTCGAATGTTGCTTTTGCAGTCCCTTATATTCTCTATCAGAGTCTCTACCCCACTGAGTCTTTCTTGCCCAGGTATATTCCACCTGTGGCTATTCATCCTCACCTGTGTCCTCCATGCTCCCACCAGGGGAGCACCACCTATAACAGCTTTTAGCCCTGATTACAATACCACAATGTAGCCAGTATATATTCATGTGGCTTAGTAATTTTCTGTCAACACTGGAAACTCAAGGATAAAAATCTTAACTACATCTCTCAGAACAAGACCCCCAGAGTGGTGCATGACTATACTTTTTCCATTTGGTTTATTCCAATTCTTGGCCATTAATAAAGCTCGTGCAAGTATTTTTGTGAACACAAGCCCATTTCTCTAGGATAAATACCTTGGAATGTTGGGCCTTAAGTCATGTGTGTGTTCAGTTTTAGTAGATCCTGACTGTTCTCCTAAGTGGTTGTGTGATAGGAGCCCTGCAGTTTCCCTTGCTCTGCTGTGCCCCCAACATGAGACAGCCAAACCTGGTGCAGGGAGGGTTTCCACACATTGGCCAGGTTTGAGGTTTGGATCTTGCACAGGTTTTGAAAATGGGTGTAGGGTAAAGAAAATATCAGGCTTTTCTGCCCTTCCGCCATCAGGATAGATGATGGATCCTTGTCCTGAATGCATGCCTGATGGCGGGCACCTGGAATAGGGTGTGGGCATAGGTAGATGGGATTCAGCAGAGCCAAGACTGTGCTTTTAAGGGCGGCGTCACGGGGACGCCAGCAGCAGCAGCAGCAGCCGCAGCAGCCGCCGAAGCAGCAGCAGCAGTAGAAGCCGAAGTCGAAGCAGAAGCCAAAAGAGAAGCCGAGAAGCAGCAGAACGAACGCTAGAGAGCCCAGATAGAGTGAAGACTTGCTGGGGACTGGGAGGCCTGCCAGCCTCCCAGCCAGCACCCCTGCCTGCCATATGCCTGGTGAACCCCAATAAAAGACCTGCAGAACTACTGAGGACTCTGACTTCTCCTTTACCCGGTCTGCATGGGATCCGAAAACCTGCACCGTGTCCAGTTCCTGCCCCTTAAATTGGCATAAGTAGGCAAGATCCATGTAGACGGGTATTGGAGCCCTCCGCAGACCTGGAGGGACTAAGGAGAACAGACTGTTTGCCTGTGATGACGCTGGAGGCGCCATGGCGGCACAGAAGGTGGACACTGTCCACGAGCTACAGGACGAGACCTGGCGTGAAGGAGACGCCCAAGAGAACCAGACAACGACACCTGAAAGGACCGGCCAATGACCCCTGAGGCAGCAGAATCGTCGGGGAGGAGAGGACCACGATTCAGCGCTCGCTGGTGCTGATGCAGGGAGAGGCCAATGGACTTCAACTGATGGACATGGACTGATAAACTTGGACTGACAATCCCGCCAGAAGGCGGAGGACCTTGGCAGGTTATTTTTTTTTTTTTTTTTTTTTGAGAATCTGGGGGTGGCCAGTGGGCCTTGATGGCCAAAAGCAGCCTGTGCATGCCCAGCAGCCAGGTGGAGGAGAAAAGCCAACTGAGAAGGTAAAAACTGGTACTGATGCTAAGTTGAGAAGCCCTGAGCGGCTGTTAAGCAGCCTGAGTATGCTGAAGAGCTGTGAGTCTCGTAAAATCACCTGTGGGTGATGCCCTGCTCATTCTTGAGTGAGGGTGAGGAGCTGAGGAACCCGTCCTTGGGGGACGGGTGGGGAATGCAGAGTTTGGATCCCCGACCCATGTGCTCGTGCAGTGGGCTGGCTTGAGTGCAGGGGTCTGCGAGTCGCATGGGTGGATGTGAAGGCCGAGTGTTGGAGCGACTGCAGACAGAAACCCTGAGGGTTGGTGATTACCCCCAACAGAATAAAATTGCCAATCCCAGAGCTGGTGCATCCTGGGGGTGGATGCTGTGTGTGCCTTGTAGCCGAGACTACAGCCAGAGAAGGCCAGGAAGCCTGACGGCTCCTGGTGTGTTATAGTAGATGCTGTGAGTGATTCCCCTCCCTCGTATGAGCGGTGCCTTCGGCAGCAGATTTGGTGGCTTATCTGCTGGTACCAATAATTGTCTTTTGCGCTAGGTTGGTGCCCTGCCTGGACTTATTTGTGTTCTGTTGTATTTTGTTATATTTGATGTATTTGCTTTTGTGGGCCATGGCTGCATTGTTTGTTTGCTTAGAAAATTGTATATATAGGGCCTCCCCGGTGGCGCAGCGGTTGAGCTCTGGGTTGCGAAGCTGCCCGCGGCCTCTGCGGCGCCGGTTCGATCCCCGGCTGCTCCCCGGCCACCAGAGGAGGGTCCCGCATGGCGCGCAGACCTCTCCTGCCGCCCGCTGCTCCCCTCAGCAGTGTACTTCGGTCCTTCTGCCTGCTCTGCTCCCCGCTCTGGCTCTGGTGAATTCTCTCACCCTCCCGCGCTTCTGACTGTACCCAGTGCATGTATAAACAAAACAAACAAACAAACAAACAAACAAATAAATAAATAAAAAACATGCCTCTATAAAAAAAAAAAAAAAAAAAGAAAATTGTATATATATATAGACTGTATGGCAGAAAACCCTGAGGG